AAAAACCAGAAAATACGATAAGTGAGTTTTACAATTACAAAGGAACAAATAGTATTGTTTTATTAGGAATAGTTGATGCAAACTATCGTTTCTTGTACGTTAACGTTGGATGCCAAGGCCGAATTTCAGATGGAGGTGTCTTCAAAAATACTTCGTTTTATAATAAACTCGAAAAAAATGAACTTAATTTGCCAGAAAATGAACCACTACCTGGTCGTACGTTATCACTTCCTTATATTTTAGTGGCCGATGATGCATTCCCACTAACTGAACATATTATGAAACCTTACAAGACAGATTTAAACAAAGGATCTCCAAAAAGAGTATACAATTACAGGTTGTCCAGAGCGCGTCGTATTATAGAAAATACATTTGGATTACTTTCTTCTGTGTTTAGAGTTTTTCGCAAGCCGATAGAAATAAAAGTTGAAGACACAATAGTTAATATTGTACTGGCTTGTGTTTACCTTCACAATTTTTTAAGAGTGCAACCCGATTCTAGACAATTTTATTCAACGTCAGGGTGTTTCGATAGTTATGATTCATGTACAGGGGAAATTATTTCTGGATCGTGGAGAGAAATCACTTCTGGTGACACTGGTTTGATGCCACTTCGATCAATTCCACGAAGACCAGCGACAACAGCAACAAATGTCAGGGAAGAATTTATGCAATATTTCATGTCCGAAATCGGATCAGTTCCCTTTCAGGATATATACATGTAAACAAAATACAGTAGGATTGTAGAAATATTGAGTTATTTCTATTTTTGATTATATTAGATTTTTACGTACTATACGTACTATTATGTGCAAGATATTATTATTATTATTTTTATTATTATTATACAATATAGTGTAAAATTATATTATATTATTATATGGTTTATTTATTTACAGATAATATCAATTATTTAATAGTATGATAATATAAACCCATAGACCTTATAAGGTCTATGTATAAACCCAGTATTTTGTATGGTTATCGCAGATAACAGATAAAAAACAACGCGCAGAATCTAATAATACAATTTGAGGAATAAACGAATAACAAAATCTACTAATAGAATTACTTAAAAATAAAATAACTTACGTTTTCATTATTACTAATACTTGTTGTCGGGTTACCATCTTCCTCGCTATCCCTAGTTTCCCTTGGTGTTGTTGAATCAGAAATAAAAAGCAGCGAGTTATATGCAAACCATGAGGAAGAATAATTTTCTTCCGTTCCGGAACCAGATTTTTTTTTAAGTACTTTTTGTCGTTCTTTAGAAAAGTATGATCGCAAGCTTTTTATTTTAGATTTTACAGCTGCCACGTCCATGTTAAATGTTGTGCCGATCGCGACAATGGCATCGTTTCTTTTAATTTTGTTAGTGTACCATTTATGATTGGCATCCCACAGTAGCGGAAACGATCTAAAAATAAAAAAACAAAATAAATACTCAGTTACCTAAAATTACTATGTAAATAAAATTAAATAAATGTATAAACTAATAATTAATATAAACAAATGTATTAAATTAAAAATTAATATTAATTTAATAATTTATTACCTGTATTCTTCAATGAAACGTGATGTTTGGTTTTGGTCTTCACTTTCAGCCATTTTTTAATAAAAAACAAATAGGTATTTAAAGTAATGGCTCAAAATAATAGGTAAGTGGCTAAAATGCACGGCGTGTTGAACGGATTCCCACTGAGCGCGGAAGTCCTTGCGCTTAAGCGTGCGTCACGAAAATGTTGCCGTTCAATTCGAAAGGGCATGCGTTATTGCAAGCTTTTTCGTGCAACTCGTGGTGCGCTATGACGCATGCGTCTAACGCAAGAAAAAACGCACTAGTGTAAACATACCTATACATGTAGGTCCTTACAACTCTTACAGATATACAATCATGGGCGCCCGCAGGAAATTTATCAGGGGGGGGGCTTAATGAAATCAAACACTAAAAAAAAAATACATTAAAAAATATATTCCTCCTTACAACTTAAAAAATTAGTTAAATAAAAACTGAAGTCTTCGTGGTTGTTCTATTGCAAACATTGTTATTAATTGTTCAATTAATTTTTCTTTTCTTTTATCAACTCTTTCACGATGGACACTTAACATACATAGGCCATTTAATCGGTCTTCATCCGTCGTAGACCGAAGCCAAGTTTTAACCCTTCGTAAAGTGCTAAATGATCTTTCAGCTGCACAACTTGTAGCTGGCAAAGACAGAAAAATTTCTAATACAATTATAATGCCAGGGAAAAATATTTTGCTGTGTTCTAGTAAATCTATTATGTCCATACTTTGGCAGTCTTTTTTTTGCCATAAACTATACCAACTTTCACTTTCAGCTAACAAATTTTCAATTTTATAAAAAATGCTGGATGAAGGTGTTGTAGTGAAAAAGCAACACTATTATTTTTCAAATCTTTCTTTAATACACTGAATTATAGAATCTAGATAAGGTAGAAAAATTGATACTCGATAATAGTCTTTGGGAGATTCATAAGAATAATTGTTTCTGTGTGATTGTTTTCCAGTTATTCTGGGACAAGTAATAGTGATTTTAAAATCATCTGCTACAAATTTGGAATCAGTAAATAATAAATCAAAGGTTTCATTTGCATTTGTTCTATTGTCTTCAAACATTTTTATCAATTCCTCTACATATTCCCGAACTTTATAAAGTTCCATTGATACACCTTGTAAAATATTTGTAACCGGTTCTAAGATAGCGCTGTATTTTGCAATTATTTTCATACTAATTATAAATGAAAAATTTGAGGTTGAAGAGTATAGAAATAGTGCACGTTGTCTTGTATTCGAATTTATAAGACCATTAATAGACAAAGATTGAAGACTTTGAATTATAGCAATAAAATTTTCAGAAAATAGCCTAATAATCTTATACTTTGAAGACCAGCGTGTTTCGCAAAAAA